CACACACACACACACACACACACACACACACACACACACATATATATATATGATATTAAGTCAATTTATTATTAATACTGTTCATGTGCTTAGGGCTGACCACTTGCTATTAGATAACTGAATAGGGATCCTGTCTCTGGAAAAGTTTGTTTCTATTTCTTTCAGTAGCCATTGATTGCTTGGACCTTTTCATCTGAGTATGAGGCCTTGTGAGATTTACCCCATTCATACTGATATGCTGACTAGTGCTTTCATTGTGATTGTCTTTTTATTGTCCCATGTCATGGGTATTTCATGGGTACAGCTTTCATATCATAATTAGGAGACGCTATCTCAAAGCAGACTTCCTGGTCCCATGGCTTTTATTATTTTACTAGGGGCCACACTCAGTGAAAATTGATTCTTCTTCTTTTTGTAGCTATCAGTTGCAAATAGCTCCTCGACTCAGGGTGGAACTTGTCCATTCTTTTCTTCTGTTGGGATTGGTTGACTTTGAGGTTGTACAAGTCTTGTGAATGCTGCTGCAACTACTATGAGTTAATGTGTGCAGTTGTCCAACTTATCCCGGAAGACAGTGCTTTCAACTGCCCCCAACTTTATTCCTTATAAACAAAGATTCCACCCCATTTTCTGCATTCTTGAGTCCTGTCTGTGTGTATTGGGAGGAATGATGTTCATATGCTCCCTTTAGTGTTTAGAATTCTGAAGTCTCATATTCTCTGTACCCTGGCCATTTGTGGGTCATTGTGCAAATAATACAAATAGAAGTCCCCTTGATGAGTATGATAGAGAGAAGTATTAATCTATGGGTATAAAAATTGGTTACTGGCACTCAGATTAATACTATGTAAATTTAGCAGGATAAAAATTTAGCAGTTAATTTCATAGAGCCTATGACTTAGCTAGCCATAGGTTCTTTGCCTGATAATGGTGACAGTTATGAATTTTGTCTTGCAGATCAGGACTTAAATCAAATCAGAAACTGGTTGGTTACTCCCTGTGTCTCATGAAACTATAGTATTAGCGGGCATATCATGTGGGGGCAGACATTGTTGGAGATCACAGGGTTCATAGCTAGAAATTATTTATGACTACTTATCTCCTCTGGTAGCTTTCATAGCACCTTCCAGTATTGT